GGCATTTAATCACTGTGCCACCAGGTGCATATAGGCATATAGGCAGAAGACAATATTGTACATTAATATGTTATGCATAAACCTTTGGTTTCTGTAAAATGTAAAAGTCATGTTTGTTTCTGTAGTCATAGTGATAGCCTGATCAATCACCACAGAAGCAGTCTTTAACAAATTCCTAACACCACCAGTAAGAAACTGAACCAAAGGAGCTGAAGGTCAAGTCCAAATGATAGCAAGCCTTTATATCAGTAGGGAACCCAAATATAGAGATCCTTTTTTTCCTTTCATTTTTTGTCCACCCACTGAATTTTCTTTTGTTTTTAGTTAGGACATGTGGATGGACCTCTCCCAGAAAGCTTCTTGTTGCCTAGGTGTCCAATACTCCCAAAGCTTTATTTCTTCAAAAGCTGTATTTTTCCACATTCTTGGTTTTTCTATGTACTTTTAAGAGGTCTTTTAGAACCCCATGGAACTTGTCTCATTCTTCAGCATTTGAGCTAATGTAGGAACACATGGAGAGCCATGTGGAGTAGACTGAAGAATTATCTGGTCCAATAGTCTATTCATACAGTTGTCTATGGGAAATCCACTAGCAAAACGTGAGTGCAACTGCACTCTCCATCTTCCACATGCCACCAACTCATTACAGAGAAGCATACTGCCTGTGATGTTGGAGGTGACATCTATGGCCATCCTGACTAGGAGCCATTGATGGAACCATCCTCCTTGAAGGCATCCAGTCTCCTTTCAAAGCCAACCAATTTGGCAGCCAAACAAAATTTCACATTTTAACCATGTACTGCTTAACTAGTTTTGTCTGTCCTGAATCTCCTGCCTCTCAGTTTCAGTGCATGAACTTGGGTTCTAGGATTATGAGAGATCCATAATATTAAACATCTCTATCATGTCTGCCCATTTTCCATCTTTAAAACATGCTTCCTGAGTCCAGTGACCAGAACTGTACATAGCATTCTAGTTATGGCTGCATCATAGATAGGGATGCTTTGATTGGGAGTTCCTGCATAGCAGGGGATTGGACTGGATGGCCCTTGTGGTCTCTTCCAACTCTATGATTCTATGATTCTATGATTCTATAAAGGCAGTGTGATATTGGCAGTGTTTTCTGATTCCTTTTCAAATTATGTCCATCTTGAAATCTGTCTTTTGTTTTGGTTTTCTCATAGCTGTCACATATTTTCATAGTCTTATAGTCATTTGGGCATTGCACTATGACTCTTGTGTGACCAGAATTTGAATCCCTGGTCAGCCAAGGAAACCCATAGGGTGGCCTTGGGCAAGTCACAGTCTCTCAGCTTCAGAGGAAGGCAAAGATGAACCCCTCTGAACAAAATGTTGGCAAGAAAACCCTGTGATTATGGTCACCATAAATAAGAAACAACTTGAAGGCAACAACTACTACTACTATTACTACTACAATCAACATGACTCCTAGATTCTTTGGTTAGTTGCAGCTGTCTTAGAACCCATCAGCATATATTTGAAGTTAATATTTTTACCCCAATATGCCTTTTATGCATCACTTTATAAACTTGTTTTTATTGCATTTTCGTTTTTCATTTTAAAGCAAGTTCTCCCAGTTTAGAGGAATGCTTTCAGAGCTCTTTTAAATCTCTTTTTCTCCCCAACACAATTTATTGTCATCAGCAAATGTGACAACCTCACTGTTTTGCATTAGCAAAGCCTGTACACCTCAAATATCGTAGCTGTAGTTGCTTAACATTTTGAGAAAATTGTGTATGTAATCCTGTATCTTCTAACATATCTTTACACATTTTGCTTTTAAAGTAGTGTAGTGACAGGAGAGCCAGCGTGGCATAGTGGTTCGAATCTTGGATTGTGACTTTGGAGACTAGGGTTTGATTCCCAGCTCAGCCACAAAACCCACTGGGTAACCTTGGGCAGGTCACATGCTCTCAGCCTCAGGGGAAGACAATGCAACCCTCCTCTGAACAGATCTTGCCAAGAAAACCCCATTATAGGGTCGCCTTAGAGACGCCATAAGTAGGAAACAACTTGAAGCCATATAAAAATTACAGTGACAGGAGACAGATGTGACAGGAGATGCTACAAGCAATTTTGCATTCACATCCTAGGGTCGTTTATATTTTTCTCTTTTGCTTGGCATATTAGTTCTGTTTATTCGTTTTTTATTTGCTTAGTCCTTTATTTGCTTTCATTTCTTATTTTCCTGTTGTTTTATTGCTTTTATATTACTATTGCTTTGGTAGTTTGATTGATAGCTGCATCAGTTGATCTTCGTTCTTATTTTAAGGCAGTGTTATCTGTCCTTTCATTGCTTTTTAAAAACAAAAAATACCGGTAATTGTAAGTAGGTAAAATAATAATGACCTGCCTGCCAATGTTGATCACCCCCCAATTTTAAAACAGTTTTGAGGTTCCTGAATGATATTATCTTAACCATTTGGGAATGCCTTTGAATCTTTTCTAATCAGAGAGACAGCACTGGGTTGTAGCTATGAGGAGCAAAATGAAGACATTGCCTCCCCAATATGAATTGTAATCTCCATATAATTTTCCTTCTCCAATTTTTAGCATTGCAGTAAGTTAAAACTTCAAGGGAGCATTTAGAAATACAGTAGAGGCATCCAAAGAAAGGGGACAGGCAAAATGATCAAGAGAATGCAAATGCAGTAAGTGCAAGAGTTCTAGATGTGCATGGTTTTCAAAATCTTCATCTCTGGAATGCTAGATATTTGGTGACTAAAGGAGAAGAATATCATTGGCGGGGCAGAATCCTTATTCGGAGGGGCAATGGCCTTATTCCCTTACTCCCAAGTTGCACTCCAGGAGACAGAACTGAATGCCTTTCTCAAATATGAAGTAGCTTGTGTGTGTGTGCACATGCACACATACGCACATTCAATTTGCCTGTTGAACGTATAGTGACCGCTTGAATTTCTTAGGTTTTTCCTAAGCAAAAAATGGTTAGAAATTGTTTTGGTCAGTTCCTTCCTCTACAATACAGCCTACCGCACCTGGTATTTGTTGCCCATCTCTCATCCCAGTACTAACTAGGGCTGTCCCTGTTTAGCTTCCAAGACCAGACAGTATCTGGTACCTTTGGAGTATTTAACTGTGTAGGGAACATTCAGGTTCCGCAAAAAATTCAGGCTACTTTTTATATTTTCTCTCCCAAGGGAGAGATATACAACTATGCTGGCCTTTAAAAAATCTTTCCTCTAATAATCAGGCTGTTTTCAACTTCTTGCTTACTCAACTGCAGCAGGCACAGAGAATAATAAAAATAAGGAGAAAATAAAAGTCCTTCCTTTGAAATTCCCTCTACTACTAATCTGTTAGGAACTTGTCCTTCTTTATCTCTTCCTGTGCCAGATGTACCTCAGTGTGTTCAAGGGGTGAAGGAAAATTATGAATTGGACCAAAAAAATAATAATAATAACCAGGTCTGCTGGGGGTGGGCTACCTGAGCTCAAGGGCCCCCTGTGGTCTAATTTCATTTGGGTGGTCATGGATAGGGGCATCCCCAAGGGAAAGACGGACGGCAGGAGGGAAATAAAATGGAAGAAATCCCAAAATGGATGGCTCATTGAAGAAGAGAGGGAAGCCCCCTGCAAATGATTGATTCAGTACTCCAGCAAGGAGCAGAGAGAAACCACTGGCAGTGAGGCCAGCCCAAGATATTTTGCTGCCTGAAGCAGAGGAGCAAACGATGCCTGTCACCCACACACACACATGAGTCAAGGTACATAATACCTAAAAATCAGCCAAGTTCTTTTGGCACACCAGGCAGCCCTGTATCTGCGCCCTTCCTGACAGTAAAAATAGAGAAATAATAAAATTAATGCCATACCTTCTAACATTTCAGAGATGAAACCCAGAATGCACAATGCCATAGGCAAGATGGCAAAAGTAATTAAAAAGGAAGAACACACAAGCTAAGAGAGGAGGCAGAAGATTGCTTTGCCTGAGCCTACTGGGAAGGACAAGATTCTGCCTTCTCCTCTCCCTGCTTGAATTAACTGAGTGCAAACTACTTTACTATTATTAAATTATTAAATTTTAATTATAGAGAGCTGTAAATTTGCACGGTGCTGTACGATATTAGTTGCCAAGATACAGATAAAAGCCTGCCTATGGAGTACAATCTAAAGATAGAAAAAGAAAGTTAATAAAATATTAACATCAATTAACATCTAAGACCAAAACAAAAATCATAAAACAATAATATCATTAAAAAGTAAACTTTGACATCAGTTTGCAGTAATTGATGTAAGCAGAGGACAAGGTGGGATGTGGGAGGAGGAGAGAGAGAAACTGGAACATTTTAAAAGCAGTTGAAAAGTGGGATAATGGAGGATTAATACGGATTGTTGTTGCTGCCAGACCCAGACAGTTGGAGGCTATGACATACCTAACAATTTGCTTCACCTTCATGGCACCCAAATTCTTTGCTTACAATAGCTGCCCTAAATATATGGTCAAAAAGATGAAGAAAAAAGATCGAGACATCTTCAAGACTCCCTGTCTTCCATTGCTCTGCAATGATATATAGAAATTATAATTGATGAGTAACATTAGTACAAAAAACATTACTAAGGATCCTGTATGGTCTGGTATGGGAGGAGGTCAATGGGGGGGGTGACGCCACTGTGATAACCTACTGAGTAGAGAGAAAAAGAGAGAGCGAGAAAGACACAGGAAAGGAATAGCAGAGGAAGAAGAGGGCGGAAGAAGGAGAGAAAGAGAAAGACAAAGAAGGGATAATCCTGGTTATCACAACTCCTGATAGATCACTAATGGAAAAAGGTTCTCTGTCCTCCATCTACAACCCAATGAGGTACTATATTAGGTCCTGGGATAAGTGACGGTATAAAATTTAGAAGGACTGTTATCTTAGAAATTTTGAGGTGGGTGCCTGGGAATGGCAGATAATTCAAGCAGCCATCCTCTGAGGCTGAGACAGTGTGACTTGCCCAAGGTCACCCAATGGGTTTTTATGTTCGAGCAGAGAATCGAACCCTGATCTCCAGAGTTGCAGTCTGCCACTCAAACCACTACGCCAGGCTGGCTCTCACATATGACAATATTCCCCTTGTAAATATTTCTGGTTATTCTAGTAATAGCAGAAAGGGCTATTAATCCTCTGAAAAAATGGTCTGCCATTGAGTAACCCTAGGCATACTGATTGGTATGTCAGGTTTGATTTGCAGGAGGCTGCACAGTCTTAGGGTGCATCTACACTGTAGATATACTCCAGTTTGACACCACTTCAACTGCCATGACATCATCCTACAGAATCCTGAGGTTTGTATTTTGTGAGGCACCAGGTCTCTTTGTCAAAGAAGGCTAAAGACCTTGTAAAACTACAGATCCCAGGATTCCACAGGATGGAACTACAGTAGCTAAAGTGGGGGCAAACTACATTATTTTTCCCTGATGGTAGCACCTTTACTGTTGCCATCCTTAGACTAAGGGCCTGTACAGACTGCCAGAAATAATCCAGCTTGAGACCACTTTAATTGTCCTGGCTCAATGCTATGGAATCATGGGAATTGTAGTTTTTCTGAGACATTGAGCCTTCTCTGAGAGCTCTGGTGCTACAATAGACTACAGTTCCCATGATTCCCTAGCATTGAGCCAAGACAGTTAAAGTGGTCTCAAATTGGATTATTTCTGGCAGGCTGTACAGGCCCTAACTCTGTGAGGTAGGCCACCATAGTTCCAAATTTGCAACAACAACAACAAAAAAGGAAACCGATGCCAGCCTGACTTGACCATAACCACACAGTCGGTACATGACAGATGTGATCCAAGGACCCAAACATCTCAGATACAAGCTAGCAAACACTTCTATACTAACATGGCTATCCTTTAAGAAACTGCCACCCCACATAAGTCCAACACGCACACAAACACACACACTCACAAAAAATGTTATTACGGTATATGTGATGTGTAAGTAGGAATTCTGGGCTAGAACAGTGCTACTAAAGTGGTGCTCTGTAGGCCAGTGCTGGTCAAGCAACCATTAGTTACCAGTCCAGAGTGAATTTCCAGAAAGGACAAAAACATGTGTAACCAATGGACAGGAACATGGTACATTGCAAGAAAATAATTTCCAGTCACATTAGATAGCCCAAGAAACCCTGCACTAGAAAACACAATGAAATATATAGACAGACTGCGGATTCCAAATTACCATTTTCAAAAAGCAAAAGTACACCTTGTGAAGATGAACAACACTAAGGGAGATCTGAAACATCTACATTAAACAAGCCCTTGAATTATGCAAGGTCAAAAAATGGAGTGGCAGTGGTAGCTGTTACAGAGAACATAACAAGTTGCTATTTCACAACCACGTGAAAGCTCAACTACAGAAAAACAAAGGCGTAGGAAACACAGGACACATGAAGGAATTTGAGCATCCAGGTGTCTAGGATGTGGATGTTTCAGGATTTGTTCTGCAATGTCAAATATCTCTTCACATATGACAATGTTGTTTGTTGTTGTGTGCCTCCAAGTAATTTTTTACATATGGTGATCCTAAGGTAAGCCTTAGAGTTCATAAGGTTTTCTTCAGAGGGGGTTTGCCATTGCCATCCTCTGAGGCTGAGAGAGTGTGACTTACCCAAGGTCACCTGGTGGGTTTTTATGTTCAAGCAGGGAATCGAACCCTGATCTCCAAAGTTGCAGTCCTGTGCTCAAACCACTGCACCAGGCTGACTCTCACATATGATAATATTCCCCTTGTAAATATTTCTGGTAATTTGGGTGCCTTGGCTGATGATTGTACCACATTTCAGCTTTCTGATCAGAGACAGGAAAGTCAATAGGGAGACGGTTAATGTATTTTGTTCATAATCAGTAGCTTAAAAAGTTAATTAAACTGCAATTCTGATAGAAGCGAGGAAGTATCTACCCTATTTGGTGACAGTGGTGGTGTGTGCCTTCAAGCTGACTCCAATTTAGGGTGACTCTATCATAGGTTTACCTTTAAGGGGGGGGAGGAACATGGAAAATCGGCTGAAATTGGCTAAAACAAAACTGGAAGCACCATGACGTCTGTTACATTAGAACTACTGATGCATTTCTTAGGAAATAAAGAGGAATGACAAATGCCCCCTTCTGCAATTGCCCAACCTTTGCAGAATGGAGTTGAACAGTTTACTCCCTGTTCTTCTATCCATCTCTTGCACATAGGAGGCAATGAAACTGTTGCATGAATCTTTCAAAACCTCATTTCTCATGCACCCCACCAAAAACCTTTATCTTGCATCTATTTTCTCCCTCCATTATAATTGCATCTCCTTGCACTCCTCCTTTCTTTAGTTTATTGATTCCCATGTGGATGCCAGCAAAAGTCCCAGAATTAAGGGCTTCAGAAATCAATATTCTCGGACAGTTGAGAAACCTATTGTGTTTAGTTTAAAACACAGGAGGGACCCCTGGATACAAAAAACATCAACCGCTTCCAAGCTGCCCTTGCTAATTGTTAGTTTAAAATCTTTTAAACTTGGAATTAACTGATCATTAATTAAAAAAAAAAAAAGCAAATATTCCTTTAACCCAGGGGTAGGCAACCTTTTTGAGCCGGGGGCCGGGTTGCTGTCCCTCAGATAATTGGCGGGCCGAAGCAAAAAAATAAAATAATAAAAATAATAAAAATAAAATAAAATAAATTTTAAAAATATGCATGCACACTCTCTCAGCCCCAGAAAAGCCATGATGGCAAAACCCCTGTGGAGATTTTGCCAAAAAAACTCCAAGAACAAGTAATAACAACAATAATCAATATCATCATGGCAGGCAGCGGCGGCTGCAGGACCGGCCTGGGGCCGGTTCAAAGGCCTCGTGGGGCCGCATCCGGCCCCCGGGCCGCAGGTTGCCTACCCCTGCTTTAACCATTTGAATTTATAAAAGAACTAGCTGAGACATGTAACACCTGTTGGCTCTTTAGCATAGTCATTTAATTAATGACTTAATAAGTTAATTATGGAATTATGTTACAGCTCAAAGTCTAACTGAAATCAATCAATTAAGCTTCAAAATAATCGTAATTAAAAGTTACTCCTTTTTTGTTAGACAATTTCTAACTTTATTGGTTGCTTTTAATTTGTTCTTCCTATTGCTGTATTGAGGTAGGATGGCAATAGCTCAACCGTTTGGGGATATATTTCGTATCACACATTTTGAGGGAGAGAGGTAGAGTTATTTCTTCCTTTTGTGCCATTTAGCTGGAAGACATTTTATGAAGATGGAGAGGACAGGTCCCTAGGGGTTTGCAATTTAAAAATAGACACAAGGAAGGAAACAACAGAGAAGTGGCAGGGGGGATGGAGGCAAGGGTAAATGAGGTAAAAATGTGGCATTATTTGAGGTACTCTCAGGCTTAGTTCCTGTGGGAAATGGAGTCAAGAGCAGTAGTGGGTAGTCATCCCTCTTACTTCCCCAAGTTTCACATTTCTCTGTTAGAAGAATGTTGTGTATAATAGCGGGACCAAACATACCCTCAGGGGTAGGCAACCTTTCCCCTTTAAGGGCTGAGGGACTTCAGCTCCCAGAAGCCTCAGCCATGTTGGCCAATACTCCCATGTTGGCCAATAGCTCCTGGGATTCTGGGATCTGAAGCCCCTCGGCCCTTAAAGGGGAAAGGTTGCCTACCCCTGCTCCAAAGTCTCACACATGAAAGCTGGGACACATGTGACCAAGCAACACCAGTGTTGTCGAGATGGGAAAAGTTGTTAATGAGGAAGAACACACAAACTCAGAGGAGCTGCAGCAGTTTGCATTTGCCTGAGCCTACTGGGAAGGGCAAGGTTCTGTTTCCTCTTTTTCTCCTCGTCCTTCAGAGTTAAGTGAGTGCAAACTACCTATGCACTCTGAACTCAGGACCAAACCACACTGCAGAAATAATCCAGTTTGAGACCACTTTAACTTCTCTGGCTAGGGTGGCCATAATTCTCTTCCACGAAACCAGGACAAAATGTAGAAAACATAAATGACAAAATGTAGGACAGTCAATAAAAGTGGAGGACACAACCAACTAAAAGCCAAAAACATTAATAAAATTTTAAAAACATTAATATGGTTTGTGTGTTGGACTAGGACTCTAGAGACCAGGATTTGAATCCCGGCTTGACTATGGAAACCCACTGGGTGAACTTAGGTCGGTCACACTCTCTCAGCCTCAGGGGAAGACACACACACACACACCCCCGAACAATCTTGCCAAGAAAAACCCAGCAGAGGGTGGCCCTAAATTGGAAAGGACTTGAAGGCACACCACAACCACAAAGCCATGCTCCAAATGGAGGACAAGTTGGCATCCCTCCTTCCTGGACCTGGAGCGAAGTCTGCAAAGGAAGAGATGTCCTGGAGGACACCCCCTGCTCCAGCTTCTTCCTTCCCTGATTTTGGCTGCCGCCACTAGGCCATGGCTCCATGGAAGAAGGAGAAGAAGAAAGGCTGCACAACACTGCGCTGACCCTCAAGGCCTCTTGCAGTAAAGAAGGTGGCGGTGGCCGCATTAAGGCCAGGGGAAGGCTTTGTCGCCCTGGACCTTCTTGTGACCTCTCCTCACGGCTCGGCCGGCTGGTGGAGACCCCACGCAGCCCACTAGGGAGGCCTCGAGCCCTAGCTGGATGTCTTTGGGGCTGACTGGAGGCCCTGCGCAGCCACGGCAGGGAGGCCTTGCCCCCTGAATGTCTTTGGGTTTTGCTTGGTTGGCTGACTGACCAGCCGGACAAGGCCCTGTATGGCTGAGCCAGGGTCAGGGAGGCCTTGCCCTTGCTGGGAATTGATCCCAAAGACCCTTAAAATCCAGGAATGTCCCAGCAAAAATCGGGATATGGCAACCCTAGCCCTGGCTCGGTGCTAGGTAATCCTGGGAATTGTAGTTTGTTTTGGCACCAGAGCTCTCTCACCTGGGAAGGCTAAATATCTCACAAAATGACAGTTCCCAGAATTCCCTAGCATTGAGCCAGGGCAGTAAAGGCTATCTCAAACTGGATTATTTCTGCAATGTGTTTTGGACCTCAGTTTGCAGCAATTGAAATAAACTAAAGACAAAGGGGGAAGCAGGAGAGGAGTGAGAAACTGAGACATTTTAAGAACTGCAGAAAAAGTGGGACAGTAGACGTTTAATCAGGACTGTTTCTGCAAAACTGGGAAAGCTGAAGAGTAATGGTCACAACATATGCTCCCATACCCCATACACACACACTAGGGAAACCTTCCACAACCTAGCTCCTTCCAGATTAAACTGTGGATAATGGGAGCTGTAGTCTATTATGTCGAAGATGCCAGATTGGGGTGATGGGACCTGGAGGCCAACCAGGCTGAGGAAGGCTGCATCAGGAGTTTGAGGTATTCTAGTAGCTTCATGGTTGAAAGAAGGGATGTACATAAAGCGATCAGAGAACAGGACAATTGTTCCCGTACCTTCAATAGCTAGAAATCTGGCAGGTACAATTTTTCTTCAGACTGTGTGACAAGCTGCAGCCCCTGCTAAAACCACCTATTCCATTCAGTTACTTACAGGAGTGTTTTTCTCCTTTACAAACCATTACATTTTAGTTAGTACATACAGTGGGGCCCTTGTTATCTGCTGGGGTTTGGTTCAGGACTCCTTATAGATACCAAAATCCGTGGATGCTCAAGTCCCATTACACACAATGGTGTAATAAAGTGGTGTCCCTTATGTACAAGGCCAAAATCAAGGTTTGCTATTTGGAATTTATTATTTTTAAAAATATTTTTAAGCCACAAATGCTTGAATCCATGTATAAAGACTCCATGGATATGGAGGGCTGACTGTATATACTGGCGAGAGCCAGCATGGAATAGTGATTTGAGTATTGGGCTAGGACCTCAGGAGAGGAAAGTTCAAATCCCCGTTGGATGGCCTTGGACAAGTCACAACATTCATTGGAGTTGTCTTAAAGACACAAAACCAGCATATATGCTGCACAAAAACACACAAGTAAGCCCAGAACCAACCCACAGACAGACTGTATGCAGCACCAGTGTACATAACCAGGCGGGCCATGTGTCAACACTCTCTGAACAAGTAGCTCCTAATCTACCAGTGTGCAAGGGGGGGTGTGAGTGTGTAAGAAGACAGTCAGCTCAGGGACTGGATTGATGCAAAAAAAAAAAAATCAATTATGCACGAGGCCCAATTAATATTCATAAGCCTCCGGCACCAAACTGTCAGAGACTGGGAGGGGAAATGAGAACATGTAACCATATGCAGGCAGGAGGAGGAGGAAAATGAGGGAAGGCAAACAGATTGTCCTTTTCCCCAGGTTTCAACTCCATTATAATGCTTGCTTCCAATCAGCTTCTGTCCTTTAGTCAGGGATAGTAGCCCTAAACATGCCCTAAATCAGGAGGGACAATTGTGCAGCTCTCCAGATGTTGGTGGACTCCCTACAGCCTCAGCCAGCATAGCCTATGGCAGGGGTAGGCAACCTAAGGCCCGGGGGCCGGATGTGGCCCCCCGAGGCCTTTGGACTGGCCCCAGGCTGGTCCTGCCGCCGCCGCCACCGCCGCCACCTGCCATGATGATATTGATTATTGTTGTTATTACTTGTTCTTGGGGGTTTTCTTGCAAAATCTCCACAGGGGGTTTGCCAGGGCTTTTCTGGGGCTGAGAGAATGTGCATGCATATTTTTTAAATTTTTTAAAAGAATATATTTTTATTTATTTATTTATTTATTTTT